ACCTCCCGCCCACAGACACAAACCCAACCCTCCCCGCCATAGACACAAACACAACCCTCCCCCCCACAGAGACACAAACACCCTCCCCGCCCACAGAGACACAATCCCGCCCACAGACACAAACCCAACTCTCCTCACCGCCCACAGATACAAACCCAACACAGAGACACAAACCCAACCCTCCCCGCCCACAGAGACACAGAGAGACACCCACCTGAAGGCGGCGGCACTCTCGTCTTCTCCTGGCACACTCTTGGCATTCCGTCTCGCCTCCGGGTCGATGGGGATGCCCAACTCCTGCGCCAGGTACTGCATGTCCTCCGTGTAGGTCTCCAGTAGGGCGATGTAGTCGTAGTGGAAGTAACACGGGGAACAGAGCTGCCGGTACGTGCTCCTGTTGGGGGTAAGGGAGGGGGGTAGGAGGAGGTAGAAGGGAGGGGAGGAATGGGAGGGGGTGGAAGGGAGAGGGGGGAATAGGAGGAGGTGGAAGGGAAAGGGGAGGAAATGGGAGGGGGTGGAAAGGAAGGGGGAATAGGAGGAGGTGGGAGGAAAGGGGGAATAGGAGGAGGTAGATGGGAGGGAGAATAGAAGGAAGTGGAAGGGAGGTGGAAGAGGGCAGGAAGGGAAGTAGGGAGTGGGCAGGAGGGGAGGTTATGGGCAGGCGGAAGGGAAGGGGAAAGAAATAGGAAGAGGTAGAAGGGAAGGGGGAAGAGGGCAGAAGGGGAGGAAATGGGAGGTGGAAGGGAAGGGGAATAAGAAGAGGTGGAAAGGGAGGAGAGCATGAGGAGGAGGAGGAGGGAATGGAAGGTGGAGTGGAAGGAGGAAGGGCAGGAGGACGGGAAGGGGGGGAAGGATGGAAAGGAAAGGGAAGAGGACAAAAAGGGAAGGGGGGAAGGGCAGGAAGGGAAGGGGAAGAGGTGAAAGGAGATAGGAAGGGGGATGAGGAGGAGGAGGAGGAGGAGGAGGAAGGTAAGGTGAGGAGTAGTGTGAAGGGGAGAAGAAGGAGGACGAAGGAATGGGGAGATGGAGGAGGATGAGGAGGAGAAGGAAGAGGAAGGAGGGGAGGCGGAGTGGAAGGGGAGAAGGGAGGATGAGGAGTAAAAATGAAAGGGAGGAAGAAGGAAAGGGGAAGGAGGAGTAAGGGAAGGAAGAGGAGAAGGAAAGAAGGGGAGGAGGAAGGGAAAGGGAAAGGGAGAAGAGGAATTAGGCAAGGGAAGCAGAGGAGGAAGAAAAAAGTGGGATTAGGAGGGAAGGAAAGGGAGAATGAGGGAGATAATAATAATAAGAGGAGGAGGAGGAGGAGGGAGAGAAGGAAGAGAAGATTGAAATGGAAAGGACGGAAGGGGAAGGAGACAAGGGAGGAGCAGGAGGAGGAGGAGAGGAGGACGACAGGAAACGAGGCGAGAAAGGAGGAAGAAGGAGAGGAAGATGAGGAGCAAAAAAACAAAAACAAACAAACAAAAAAAACAGGAAAGAATGGAATGTAAACGAAAGAAAAGGTGCATGAGAAAGACGAGGATGAAGAGGAAAGAAGAAATGGGATAAAAAGTGTGTGAGTGGGGGTCGGAGGAGGAAAGGGAAGGAGAAGGCGGAAGAGGAAGTGGGAAGAGGCGATTATAGGAAGAAAAAGGAGAATGTGTGGAGAGGAGAGGGAAAGAGAGAAAAAGCGAGGAAGAAAAGTTTTAAAAACGTTTAGACACTGGAAAAAGGATGCACTGAAAAAGAGGATAAGATAGATACACAGAAATAGATAGACACAGACAGACAGATAAATTGGTAGAGGTTAGATGTATATATATATGTATATATGTATATATAATATATAATATATATATATATATATATATATATATATATATATATATATATATATATATATATATATATATATATATATATATATATATATATATGTATGTTATAATGTGTATATATATATATATATATATATATATATATATATATATATATATATATATTACATGTGTGTGTATATATGTATATATATATATATATATATATATATATATATATATATATATATATATATATATATTATATATATATATATATATATATATATTATATATATATATATATATATATATATAATATGTATATATATATATATATATATATATATATATATATATATATATATATATATATATATATATAATATGTATAGATACAAAATATCAGATATATACATAGATAGTTTGATAGATAGATAGATAAAGAAAGAGAATAAAAGAAAATAAGAAAGTGAAATAAAATGAAAAAAGCGAGAAAGCACCCTACACACACACACACACAAACACACACACAATACCCAATTCATCCACTCTCACTTAGCCCAACACACCTCCCAGGAAGAACAACGACTAATTCCTTACCAGTGTCTGTCTGCATGTCGCCTGGTACTGATCACGTGAACAAGGAATTCTGAGAAGCTGATGTAGTTGCGGTCAGCTGGTAACTGGAGTACCTGGATCGCCATCCGTAAGTACCCACCTACCTGGAGAAAGTTGTTGTTGTGGAAAAGGCAGTATGTAGGTAGGGCGTGGGGGTAAGGTCTGCTGTGTATATTTGCGTGTATTTTTTGTATCGATGTATCTGATTATCTATCTACATTCATGTTTATATTTATATATTAATCTGTCTGTCTATATATATCTGTATATCTATTTGTCTATCCATCTAGCTCTATATCTAAATCTATATCTATATCTACATGTATGTGTGTATGCACGCACGTACGTACGTACACATGCATGTATGTAAGAATACATGTAGGTGCATATGTATGTACGTATGTATGTATGTATGTAAGTATGCATGTATGTTCCTTTGAAGGAATATTAATTTATGTCAAACAATTGAAATACATATTCACGTCAGTGACTACATATAATTGTTCGGTGATTCAGCTGATGGGAACATTCGCTTATTTCCGACATGTTTAGGACATGTTTTGCCCCATTGCACCTTCAACTGGGTTTTAAATGAGGAAATGATCTGCATCATTACTATCATTCAAATCCTTCAAAAACTAAATAAGATTTCCATAATAAAAATATGTGACGTATTCATTTTCATTCATTCATCATTATTAACGTGTCTACAACCCGTATATAGATACACATAAATCATACGTGAATGTGTTTACCTTTTCGACGGGCCGCCCATTCAGAAACTTGTTCCTGAAAGCTGACACCAGACGGACGAGAGGGTGCCTGCAATAACAACATTCAAATTACCTGTTTAAATAGTATGAGCTTGCAAGTCATCTCTTCAAAAGCATTTTGCATATGGAATAATCTTTCACTTGCACGTTTTTTTTTCTATAATAATTTACTTTCGGGGTACATGTATCATGATTACTTTACCTCGTTTAATTCAGATCACCTGACGCTTTCGACTTTCATTAAATCACACGTGTGCATATGTCTCATGTTTAAGCACCGGACTTTTCCCTCTCATCAAGGTGGCTTTGACGCTTATTTGCATAAATCACGAGAAGTTTAGATGGATTTTACCACACATACGAGTGGGTGGGTGGATAGATGGATGGATGGTGGGTGGGTGGATAGATGGATGGATGGTGGGTGGGTGGATAGATGGATGGATGGTGGGTGGGTGGATAGATGGATGGATGGTGGGTGGGTGGATAGATGGATGGATGGTGGTGGGTGGATAGATGGATGGATGTGGGTGGGTGGATAGATGGATGGATGGTGGGTGTGGTAGATGGATGGATGGTGGGTGGGTTAGTGGGTGGATGAATAGATAGATGGGGGTGGATAGATGGATGGATGGAGTGGGTGGATGAATAGATAGATGGATAGATGGATGGATGGTGGGTAAATGAATGATGGATGGGGTGGATGGAGTGATAGATGGATAGATGGATAGACGGATGGATGGGTGGGTAGGTGGGTGGGTGAATGGAAGGATGGAGGGAGGGAGGGATAGATGTGTATCGGTATTATGTATGCGTGTATACATATGTATGTAGGTATGCATATATGTGAGTATGAAGGTATTGATATATGTATGTATATGTATGTATGTATGAATGTATGTATGAAAGTATATGTATGCAGATCGACAGTCAAGTATGTAGCAGGTATTTGGGTATGTATGCGTGTATGTATGTATGCATGCACACATTCACACACATTCACACACACACACACACACACACACACACACACGCACAATCACACACATACACATATGAATTATATCTATATCTATATCTATTTATCTATCTATCTATCTATCAATCAATATATATGTATATATAACACACATGTATATGCATATACAGCCAAAAAAAAGAAAGAAAGAAAAAAAAAAAAGCCAAAGCCAGACAGACAAGCCAACCCCTAACCAACCCAGGACCCCCCTCCCCACCGGCCTCTCCTCCCCTCCCTACCTCACAGAGATGAGAGTGACCGTATCCCTCACGCCCCTTATGATGACGTCATCGGCCTGCCTCAAGAGCTTGAATCTTCTCTCGTCGTAGAGTGGATGACGACCGTTCAGCTTCTTCATGTTCTCCACCCAGGTCGTCCAGCCGCACTGTGCAAGAGGGGGGGGGAGTGGGGGATTCAAGAAGGTCGGTTATGTCAGGTGGGCGATTTTTTTTTTTTTTTTTTTTTTTCGTTAGCTGTCTAAATTTGTTTTCGTTTTTTTTTTTTTTTTTTTTTTTTTAATATTCTGTATGTTTTTTTCCCATCATTTTGGTTTTATCGTTATCGTTATTATTCGTTTTATTATTATCATTATTACTATCATTATTATCATTATTACTATTATCACTATCATAATAACGATAGTGATATTATCATTATCATAATATTGGTTATGATAACTCCAGTAATAATGATTATGATAACATTAATAAGATAATACAATTTATAATTGCCATTATTATTATCACTATCAATATTATTATTACTATCAACCCTACTATTCTCATTATTACCATAATGAGTTTGTTATTATTACTTTACTATCATCATCATTATCATTATTTTTGTTATCATTATCATCACTATTAATATATATAATATATATATATATATATATATATATATATATATATATATATATATATATAACATATATATATATATAGTATCATTTTATCAGTGTCACTATTACTATAATGTTTATTAAAACTATTTTTTAATATCATCATTACTACAATCATCAATGTTATCATCTTCGTTATCATTACCATTATTATTACTTCATCATCAAAATCATAATCATTATTATTACTAGCATTATCAATGTTATTAATACTATTATCATCATTATCATTAGTATTATTATAACTATTATTAGCATCATTATAACAGATATAATGATAATGATAATAATAATGGTAATTATAATAAAAAAGAATAACAATAATAATAATAATGATAAGAATAGTACAAAATAACAATAATAATACAGATAAAAATCACATTGATAACAATAGTAACAAGAATGGTAATGGTAACAAGTAATAATAATAACGATAACAATAGCAACAGTAATAATGGTAACGATAATACCGTAACTTATACAGTTACTGATAGGCCTATTTCACCTTTTCTCAATTGCAACTGAACAATTTTACTTTTGGATTCAACATTCTTACATTTGACAAATGGCAACCTTTCCTTTCCGTTCAACAAACATGAAAATCCTTGCAACAATTATATACCACGTGAAAATCTTTATTATTTTCAACAATCGATTCATTCTTTACTGGCAATTCAACAATACTTTCAAGATTTTACAAAACTAAATAAAAAAAAATCTAAACGTCACCACTATGCGATTTTTTTTCATTTTTTTGTTGTTTTTCGGAGATCGAAACAACATAAATTGCCGAATTTTTGAAGAAAGTAGCGTATCACCAAATCGAGACGGTGAGCTTTACACTCGGTATTTTCGAGTTGATCGAGAATGAAAAATAATGAGATAGATAGAGAGAGAGAGAAAGAGAAAGAGAGCGAGAGCGAGAGCGAGAGAGAGAGAGAGAGAGAGAGAGAGAGAGAGAGAGAGAGAGAGAGAGAGAGAGAGAGAGAGAGAGAGAGAGAGAGAGAGAGAGAGAGAGAAGAGAGAGAGAGAGAATAGAGATTAGATAGATAGATAGAGATGAAAAGATAATCATCAATGCCCCCTCCCCCCCTACTCTCCCCTACAGTACCTCCATCCCTACCTTACAGCCCATGAAAGCGTTCGAAACCTTTGCTGTAAATTGCTTCCCTTTTTTATTTTTATTTTTGCAATCGTTATATACTCATTTTTATACCAAAATTAATTGTTTTGTGGATTTTCGAAGGAAGGAAGAATTAAACTGTCATTGTTGTTACTGATTTTAAAGATTGTTGAATAAATAGTTTCGAACGATGGTTGTTTCAGTTGCATTGCTGAAAGGTTTCGGTAAAAGTTAAAAGTATTAGAGATACGTGGCTGTTGGAAAGTTTCGTAAGCTTTCCAATCATGATAATTGATTATTGAATAGATTCATAAAATAGTTGAATGCAAAGAGAAATTTGTCATTCTATTTTTTCATGTTGAAAGGAAGTCAGTTGTTCATTTGTAAATTATATAAGGTGTAAAACTAATTCGAATAAAAATGATGATGGCAACAATAATAATAATGATAATAACAGCAATATCAATAATAATAATAATAATAACTACCATTATTATAATAATAATAATAGTAATGTCAAAACAACAGTAATAGTGATAATGGTAATAAATAACAAATTCAAGAGCAAGAACAACGACGATTATGATGATGATAATAATAATAATAATATTAATAATGATAGAACTAATAATAATAATAATAATAATCATAATCATAAGTTGTGATGATAGTGATATTCTTGAAAATAATGATTATTTTTTCACTATTTTTGCCGAGATTTTGATGCACACACACACACACACACACACACAACACACACGCACACACACACACACACACCCAAACCTAACCTTCGGGATGGAGCAGAGAGACACATTGTAATTCCAGAGACGGAACATAAAGTTTCTTATCGTGTGTCTAACCGGTTCCTTCTTCTTCTCTAACGTCTCACAGGTCTTCCTCATCTGCTCGCGACGCTGTGCATATCTCCGGCCGACGTCTTCGTGGTTATATTCCTTTTCGTAATCCTTTTCGAGACACGCAGCGCTTCTGAGGTAAATACAAGTGGCGGCGACGAGCAAGACGGCTATCAGAAGCTTCAGGACCTTTCTAGAAGGAAACATGTTGTGGTTTTAGAGTTAGGAGAAGGAGAGGGAGTTGAGGGTCAAGCGGGGGCGCGGTGTGCACTGGCGTTTCAATAGACGACTGAACTGGAGGTAGGGGGAAAGAGGAGCGTCGTGCTCAGAGGGTTAAATGAGATTCGAACACTTGTTTGTCGGTTCGAGGATGATTGATATGTGGGGTAAAAATGCTTCGACACGTTTTGAATGCAG